GCTGCTGCACCTCCAGCCGCCATCCGGCCGTTAATTATTTCCCCGTTAGGAATTCCCTTTCCGAATGTTCGGCGGGACGCCTTTACCTTTACTCTTCCCCCACACTCCCTTTACTCTTCCCCCACAGACTTCTCTCCATCTCCATCCCCTTTCCTCGTTCAACTCCAAGAAGGAATCATCAAGCACGGCAAAAGGAAAAATATTAAGGAAATCCAAGCGCACCACGAGGTGGGTGCCACGGGTTTGGGTGCCTATGGGGGGTGGGTGCCACGATGGTGATGGTGGGTGTCGCGGGTATAGTTATGGACAGGGGTGGGTACCAACGGGGATGGTTACCAAACGAGAGTGATACTGACGTCAGCGGTACCAATTGTACCAAAGTGGTGGGTGCCACGAGGGTGGGTCAAACGTGAACGGGGATGGGTACGAACGGGGTAGGGTGCGACGGGGAGGGTGCCACGAACGGTGGGTGCCGAGGGGAATAGGTTGCGGTCCTGCTCGCCTCCTCGCTCCGCAGGTCCTCTCTTCATTACGGGGAGCGAACAGCGAGAAGGACCCCGACCCGCGCGGAATTAGATCATTTCGTCATGTAAAGCCCGATCTTAATTATGAGATAAGGCCTTCTAGGTGTGTGCGAGTGAGAGAGACAGACAGCAGAGAGGAGGTCGGGAGAGACAGGAGAGGAAAAAGCGAGAGAAGAAGAGTGGGCAGACAGAGAGGAGCGAGAGAAAAGAAAGAGCAGGACATGAGGGAGGAAGACAGTGAGAAATAAGAATTACAAAGAAAAGCTTCCTTCGTCTACCGCATCTGCTTTATCCTGCGCAGATAATTTGCTGAGCCCTTGCAAAGAAATTCTTTGCAATAAAATGAAACAGTGCACGCATGCATGGTAGGTGTTCCGGTCTCGGCTCGCTGGCGGCCCGAGGGGCAGCCTCTATTGACCAACAACATCGGCGCGCGGCGGCGGCCCCCGCCGGCGGCAGCGGCCGCCCCCTCGCTACAACCCTTCACGGCGTCCTCGTGCCTCGCCCGCCCCGCCTCGCCTGGAGCCTTCC